AGCCTGTACCTCCTCAGTGGAGGTACCAAAACAATAATCTCCTTCCTGAAAAGTATGATGGGGACTCTTATGGTTGTACTTGAGAAGATTCCGGCAACTCCAAATTTAAATAAATAAATAAATGAAAATCCAAGGCTTTGACAAAAGCTGCTGGAGGAAAACCAGTATCTCACTTCTGGCAAAACCAATGCCTCCTCGCACATACAACAGTTTCATTGAATCAGCAGCAACTGACTCACTGTGCAGGATTTGGTGATATTTGAAGTTAAGAACAGGACATAAAAGTTCACAAGCTGATTAACACAATTACTATCCATTTCATCCTGATTGCTATAGTAGGGACTTCTGATTAAGTCAGTCTGCCCTGCAATTTCCTTGGATTTCCTTCCGTGCTTTGAATACCATGGGGCAAATAACCCCAGCGAAGCACCTTGCTCACAGCCTAGTTATTTTGCTTAGTGTGCAACAGCCTCAGCAATCCCAATTAGCCCATTACAGGAAGCAGTTTAGTTTTGTTCCCTACAAACTACATATTTATTAACATCCGTAAGGTTAACAACATAAAGGATGTGTCCAGTCAGTCCATCCTTAACTGGAAGTTTTCACCATCTTCTTCCATATACCTCATGACTTAGCTGACCATACAGGTTCACTTTAATTAGCAGGAAAGAATTATTGGTTTCAGCTAATTCTCACTTTTCCTGCCTTTTGTCTCCTCAACCCCCAGAGAAGAAATAAAACAAAATCCTCCCCTGTGTACCACCAAATGTCTCCTGGTTTGCAAATCCCCACTACACATACTTCCATAGAATTAAAATAGAACAAAAATAATCAATAATCATATGCCTGCTATCAGATAATAACAAATCACCTCTATTTTATAGACTTCCCTTCACACACAGTTATTTCAGACCCAAGGCTTTGAAGTACAGTTCCCAAATGCCTTTCACTCCCTGAAAATTGAATACTGATCTCTACTCAGTAGTGCAGAAAAGCACACAGATATGAAAAGGTTTTGTAGTGTGACAGGATGTGGTGCTCCCCAACATTTTGTGTGTGAAAGCATCCTGCAGCCATTGTACTTTGAACTGCAACAACTCAAGACAGGGGTAAGAGGAGATGGTGTCCTGACAGTGCCCTGGAGCATCCCTAATAAGAAGGGCAGCATTAGCATAGACAGGCTGTGCTGAGCAGCATGCAGAGGACATTGCTGATGTCCTTGAGCAGCTGATCTTGATTGTGCTCAAAGGACTCCACAAGACCATTGTTCCATGGAGCATAATGGCATTTACTATGACAGCTGAGCAAAAGCTATGCTTTCATAAAGTAATTGTTCACTGCCAGAGGAGTGATCTTACTGGGCTTACCTGCAGTTAAATCCAGACTCATGTGATAAACTCTGTATTTTAGTATTCTTACCCATTTCTCCCCAGTTGAACATTACTGCCTCCAAAGCCATGTTTCAGCTCAAAGCCCAGAAAGCTTCTACAAACTGGAAATTTTAAAGTATAAAGTAAACATATTACAACATAAGTGAATATTGTCTTCTTAGCTATGTGTATCTGGTGCTTTAACCATCTCCCTGCAGCAAATCCTATGGAAGTAATTACTGTTTTATTGTGACCCAGAAAAAGTTAGGTTTAGGAAATGGAGATGCTCCCTCTTCGCTGCATAGAAGGTAGCTGCTTTGTTGGCTTTTTTGATTCCCTGCTCTGTATTATTATCACTTCAAAGCTCCCATCATCCTCCCAGATGCAGGTGCGCGATTCCAAGGTCTTCACAGGCCAGTTGTTTCACTTAACACTAGTTTGAAAGAACAAAATGCCCCCAAGTAGACAAGCTCCTATCAGTAACTGAGGCACCAGATCCATCTATACCATTTCTATTTGAAGCAAAAACCTTGCAGGATTATCTTCCCTATCAGCTTTTCCTTCTACTAGGTAAATCACGTAGTCTATCAAAGCCATTTCTATGATCTCCCTTAACAATACATTTGAAGGCGAAATCAAAGAACTGCTGCTGGTGTTACACATATTACAGTAAGCCCCTGATAGCAGATGTTAAATGTATTTTTGACTGGGAATGTTGTCTCAAGATAAAAACAGGCAGTGTGCAGGAATCAGCAAAAACCCACTTAATTTCACACATGTATAGCCACTGATGTGTGTGCAATGAGATTAGACGATGCCCTTGTTGGCAAACTTATCATAACTTTCTCCAAATAGCAAATCCCTAATTAGTTTATACTGTGGCTTTGCAGAGGGCAAGCATGGCTGGGGAAGAACAAACAGTAGCTGATTTCACAGGGAAACGCTTGCTTAGCTCAGGCTTTGCTATTATGAGAAAGTAAGCTCTGCATAAAAAAGCACTCTGATGGAAAGAGTCACGATTTGTTTCAGCAAGGTTTGCAGAATTATCTAGAAACTTCTCAAGCCCACAGCATCTTAATAAACCAGAGATGAACTACATACATCGTTACTAGCAGCTGTCTCAATCTAGATGCTACACTGTTGAAAAACCTATTGAATTCGGTACTTACTGGTCAGCTTTCAAATCCAGTTGCATGTTTTCTCAAACATGCTCATGTCACAGCTGGAAGAGCAACAGAGAAATAGCTGCACTGTCCTACATCTGAGGAAGCTACGTCAAGGGGCAAAGGAAAAGTTCAGAAAGTAAAGGCTCATTTCTTTGAACACTGTTCAAATTAAAGGGGCAAAAAAAAGCATTTTTCAGTACCTCCCAGATGCCATCAAGCCCAGGGACTGAGCTGAAGACTGATGGGGGCTTCTGATGCATCAAAGTGGTTTGATTAGATTTTTTTAAAAGGAAACACCCTGGAGAAAGGAGATAAAGGTGACGGTCGTTCTGCAGAAAAGGCTGTGAGGTCAGGGGAGCTGTTGGCCATCACAAAACTGGGAGACCACAGCAGGGCCAAAAGCCTCAGTAACCAGCAAGTAGATGAGCAAGATAACCATTGTAAATGAGTGAACTCCTACACAACACACCATGAGTTGCATTAAAACACAGTTTGCTTTTAATGCAGCTAGAAAGGAAAGAGAACGTCAGCTCTGCATATTCATTTTAAGAGTGAATACCATCTTGAATAATTGTTACATTCAACATTATCCTTCAACATCATACAATCAGTCCTAAGAGGCCAGCAGCATAGTGGATAGTTGAAAGTTGTTTATGTCCAAGGATCTGTGTTACCCCCACACTCTACCTAGAGAATCACTTTAAATCACAGTGAAGCACATGGAAAAAAAAGCTGGATCATTTTGTTTACTCAGAGGACAGTATGAAAGGTATCTTTTCCCCCCTCACTATGAGCAGTTTGGTTTCTGTTTGGATGGTTTTATTTACATATATATATAGTGAAAAAGGTGTGATATACCTTTACATAAAGACTTTATATCTCTTTTAGAATAAAGTACCGATTGGATTAAAATTGCCATTCTAATTAAGCTTTAAAATAAATAACTAAACTCAACCTCTGCTTCACTCAGGATCATGAGCAAAACCTTCTTCTGACTCCAGTAAATAGTTTTTTTAGCATTCTGGAAGCAAAGTACCTGCAGCTTTAACTTTAACTCCTTGAGAGGAGCTTACATTTGTCATTTTTGCCCTCCAAAAATAAGGGCAATCTAGAGCAATAATGTGTTCCTGCACCCCCACAGAACTTAAATAAGGGCAAGGCTAGTGATACAAAAAAAAAAGGCAGTATACACACATACATTTTTAATTGTATTTTAAGTACTGTGGTAATAAACCAAGTTCAGCTGTAAGCTACTGGGATATTCTTCACATATTGTCTATACCCACATCTCATATAATGGTTCTCTGGAGTAACTTAACTTTTTCAGTATTATTATTGCAAGTTATATTGCTCAGCACTATGGGAACAGATATGTAAATCAGAAACATAAATGGGCCACTGAGAAGCTGCCAGGTTGAACTAATGAGGGCAATACAGCAATGACACAGCTAAGTTCTGATTTTGTTTGAAGAGCTAATTAAGGCTTCTTAATTACCCCAAGCAGTAAGAGCATTGCCCTCTTGAAAGCTCTGAGTAATCAAGTCAAAGAAATTTTCCAAAGAAGAGTAATAACAGTTTCAATCTTTGATTACATGGAAGAAGCAGCTTCCCTGGCAAGTGCCGCAGCTCAAGAGAAGCACATAGGAAATATCATTTGGCTCCCAAGCACTTGGGGAAGGTGAACAGGGCACTCAGATATATCGAGCATTGGGTTTTTCTAGTCAGAAATAAAAAAAATCAGCTGGAAAACAAAGAGCCCCAATGAGTTTCTGGGAAAATGAGGTACAAAAGAAATTCTCCATACTGGGGGATTTTAAGATTAAAAGGACACAAAGAGGCTCCAGCCCTGCTGAGAGACACTGACAAAGGTTTCATGAACACCATCACATTAGATATGAAAACACTGCAAGCGGAGCATTCAAAACTGTCACGACAGTACAGGAAACTCCACGAGGTGTTTGTATAAACGTGCTGTCTGAAGGAACAATCCTACTGAAGGAATTAAGGTTTATGTCTTGATATGCTTAAGTTAAAGCAGCCAGGTCTGGCCTCTATAGTTGCAGAAGGCAAAGCACCACAAACTCACATCCAAACCATTAAGGCTTAAACACTCATGGTTAGAATCCAAAATCCTTTCTGCCTCCTATGAAGAAGGGAAAAGGCTTTTGAAGTCCTTCAAGAAGGGCCAAAAATATAATAGATACACAGAATGTTTTAAATTTATAACTTCTTAGAAAAAAAAAAAAAAAATTAGCAACATTGTGAGAAACTGCATGTCCACCCATTTGTATTTGTGCCTACAAATCTAAAGCAGATACTACCACACCTGCTTTAGAACAGCTTAAGGTAGATGTACCACATCCTGCTGTAGCATCACCGACTCCTTGTGCTCTCTGCAATACTGTTCACCAAGAACAGAGCCAGGACAAGATCATCAAGCCACAGATCCCAAAGAAAGACTTACCCCAGGTCATGCTGCAGGCTCTGCATGGAGCTGAACAGGGAATCCAGTGCTCCTGTGAAACCACCTTCTTCAGTGCTTCACAAACTGCTCTTCCTCCACAAGAGCTACTCTTTTACTTCATTCCTAACCCTGCTGCCAGCACACATCCTTCACCATTTGCACAGAACACAGTAACATAAGCCAAAAGGCCTCATCACTCTAAAAGAAAATCCTGGGAAGAGACATTTTCTTCCTTAAATCTAAGAAAGTTTTACAGATCAGAAGGTGTCAGAACTAAATATCAGCTCCTAGCCTCAAGCAGAGATAAAACCTTCTCCCCCCGCCTTGATACTCACTGTTAATGATAAGGCTGCCTGCTGCCCTACTCCAGCTTTCCTGAGTTACCAGGCTGATTACCAGGTGGTCTGAGCTGCTCTGAAGTTCAGGGTTGGTGTTTTACTTAGTCCTAAGTATCATTTTGAATGCTCTGGAGAACCTTTTCCATGCAGCTCACTTGCCAGCTCTCTCTGATCCCAACCAGAGGGCTGGTGTAGGAAATTGTCACATTATCATAAGTTGAGATTTTCTAGAAGCAGTTAAGAACATGAAGAGAGGGCATTAGCTAACTAAAGGGCATTTCAGCCTTATTTGACACAGGGCTAAGCTCTAGTACACCAATTCTGGCAGGAAGAGGGTTAAAATAGAAGATGGATCTTGGGAGATACTCCGGAATAACACTTAACAGGCACACACAGAGACCCTTCCCCTGATCTTTAGGAAAAGCCATGCAAAGCCCAGCAGAGCTCTCTGCTGCACCACCAGTGGCTGTGTGAGCACAAGTCCTCACCACAAGACATCTGTGATATCTACTGTGCAGATCTCACATACTTCATCCTGAGACCTTCTCATTTTGGCACGTTATCCCACACCTCTGTCGAAACCTGACTGGCAGCAAGAGAAGTTCCATGCTACTGCTCCTGCTCTGTCACAAACACTGTCACACCCATGCTAAAACTAAGGGCTGGCTGTACCCTACCCAGGTGCTGGAGCAGAGATTGTCACAGTGATTAAGAGAATGAAGAATCCCAGGTCCCGCTGTGGAAAGAAACACACATGTGCTTGTGCTGTAAGCTCAATAGCCACAGCCAGGAACAACTGCTTTTATTTCTGCATACTGCAGCAGACTCCAGAAGGTCTGTTTTAGAGCAAGCCCAGGGTATAAATAAAAGGAGTCAGCTGGCCAGAAGGAATGAAATCCAACATATCCCCTTCTTATCATGTACCTGTATCCACAACAAACAAATGAGTCAATCTGAGCGGAAAGAAACTCAATCAGCAGCGCTGCAACAGTGAGCATGGCTTGCATGTTTTATTGTTCCTGCGGTGTTATCAGTAAAGCCTGGGTGTCCGGTCAGTGCAATGCTCATAATAGTTTTTATCCCCTTGGAAACAAGCTGGTTAGAAGCAGAATTAAATTGCTTTGTGAACAACATTTACCTTTTTTCTTGCCACCAAGCAGATAACCAATTAATGACATTAAAGATTCATTAACAGGGAGGCCTGTGCACTACCTGCCAGACTAACAATCACGTTTGGGGTTACACGTTTTGTCTCGGCATGGCAAATACCTGCAGTTCTGCTTTTGGAAAATGAGAGTGCAGCCAAATTGTGGGAAATGGTTTAAAAAGGAGGAACGAGAGAGGGGAATGGTGGTTTTCAGCTATTATTTGTCAGTTCTTCATTTGCAGGGAAGGGTGCAGAGTGCTCAGTGGCTTTGGGAGCATTTGGCCTAAAATGGAGTGGAAATGTAGTTGGGTGTGTTTGTGTAAGTTGGAAGGAGGGAGAGAAAGTATATATTAGGCATTTCTCATACACACATACCCCACACCTGCTCTTGACAGCTTGTTCCATGTTTCACATCAAATGTATAAATAATGTATATACATTTTACATATAAACTGAGTAACACAAGTCCTGCCAACTCTCCATCTCTATACTCAGACACAAAAGCACAGACACAGACCTAGAAATTCATATGCACAGGGAAACATAGGCACCCACCTAGCATTTAAATCTTTCCCATCCTGAGAAGTTGCAAAACAAACTCTTCTCCCCTGAGGTAAGAAGTCTCTTAATTGCATTTCTTGCCCTGCTTTTCCTTTTACTTTCAGACCAAGCATTTCTTTTCCCCTCAGATATGCATGAAGTGCGGTTTTTTTAGTTGTTATTTTTTTCCTGCTGAAGGATGTTGAGGATATTTTGTTTAATTTCTTGTCAAGCACCAAAGGGACTGCAGACAAACTGAGATCATGCCTCCTGCTTTTGTGACCAAATTTGCTATACTGACTTTACCCAATCTAACAGGTTGCAATGGAAATCTTTCCTATTTCCTCTCTACTTTGACCCAGTCCACACTCGCCCAGAGCACACAAAGTAATCTCTAAACACTTCTTCCCAAGGTGAGGGATACCAGTTTCTGGCTCATGGTTATATTCACTTGCAGCTGCCTGGCAGAGCCACAGCAAACAGTGTGGAGCGGGCACAAGAAGTGATTGGGAAACAAGGAGGGGCACAAGAATTTTGGACAAGATATGAAGGAGCTGAGCAGCACAGCCAAAGGCTCAGTGACTCACAGAGAGTCAGCAGCAAGCGATCCAGAGTCTGGGATCAAACAAAGCCAACTTCATCACCACTGCAGAGGATGCTCCTGTTGCACAAAAGGTCTTGCAGAGACTTACCATCTCCACAACACAACCTATGCATCTTTGACCCTGGCCCCAAATTTCCATTCCTCTTCCCTTTCTCTCACCCATGGTCTTCTTTTGCTCCTGCTCAAGCTTCTGTTGTCCCAGGTTCTGTTTCAAATGTGACTCTCCTACATCTTCATGTATCCTTGCTCTGAAATGCATCACATCTGGTTCCCCACTCTCCATCAACAAGGCCCCGAGGTTGCACCAAACCCCATGTATATGCCACATGTCCAGAGGAGGGACTAGCAATATATTACAATTCTGGTCTGAAAGTAGCTCTGGGAGATGTTCTCATACCTGTTACAGAGTTATGGCCCAGTGCAGGTGCTTTAACAGTGACTCAGACTGACAAGCCTGGACAGAGGTACAGATGATACCTCTGTTGGAGTGAGAGCAATGACCACAGGAGTCAGCAGCAGGTGACCCAGGGGCTGTTTCAATGCTCTCCAGGAACACAAAGAGAGCAAAACAGCAGCTGCCATCATAATTTCCTTTTTCAATTAAAAAAAAAACATGCTTTCAGCCAGCTGCAAGCCAGAAGGCTTGAAACAAAGAGAGTTGGGCTGTATCCCGTGCCTGGCACATTTCAATGCACCTCAAGACGAGACTGTAACAGTCCTCTCTGGCCCTAAAAACCTCTCTGCACACTTGAGGCAGGTGTCTCTGAGTGTAGGAAAGGGGCTTTAGACAGAAGAAGTTGGTTTGGTGAGCTATCTCTAAAGCATCGCAGCTGTGCCTCAACTCCAGCACAGCCACCACCTCTCCCCGCTTTGGTTCTCTGGCCGTGCAACAACAGGAGCCTCACAGACTTTCTGGCCTCTCCCAGTATTCATCAGCTATAAAGCCATAAAGACAGACGATAATTGCTATTAATTATCATCAACTCCATGTTCGTTTCTGAGGCTTCTTTCAGGTTTGATAAGAATCTCCCGCTGCAGAGCTGAATGGTGTGAGGGTCACCCAGGCCAGGGGAGCCTTTATCATTTTCTGCCTCTTCTCCAGGGAGATAATAAGACCCAAGATTTTAGTTTAAGCTTATTAAAGTGCCCAGTTATCTGTTTCAGCATGGATAATTTAATCAGGCAAGTTAAATATTTATGAGGCTGCATTTTATTGTCAACGAAAGATAAAAATGTGATTTAAGTGCTATTCAGAATAAGAATTATAAGGATGATTAAAAAAACATTGGTAATGACACTTGATATTATTATTGTTAGCTCCTAGGATTACTGAACCATCACAGAGGGCTGCAAACAAGAATGGAATGAAACATGTTCCCTATCCCTGTCTGTGCAGATCTTGCAAAGAGATCCAAGGCTCAGCAGATCACTTGGGCATCCAGCCCAAAATTGTATCGTGGGTACTCAGAGGATAAAGCCAGCCCAACAGAGGAAAAATCATTTCAGTCCCTCCTACCATCACTGAAAGACAAGAAAATACAGCATGGGATGCTGGAAAAGAGAGGCTGCACGGACTGTGAGCACAGCTGTGGTTTGCCAGTCACCAGAACTGAAGTGCAGACCTGAAAGGAGAATTCAGCTGTGCTTGTAGCACCCCATACACCTTGCAGAGCAGCCAGCCAAGAAAGGCCATTCGTGCATAGTTTTGAACAAGGAACCAGTTCATTTTCACCCTGGATCAGCAGGAAGGTATATTTAGCACAGGCTTCTCCATTACAAATGGAGCCTGTGCATTTCCCAAGGTGAACAGCTTCACTCTTGGAGGTTTGGAGACTTTGGGGTTTCTGCCAGAAGAGGCCTTGATTCAGCAAGGTGTTTACATACACAGCTAACATCGAGCACATGAAGAATATCCATTGATTTCAAGTTATGATAAAATACATTATTTATCTGAGGTCAAAGCTGCTGAACTGAGTATTTTGCTTGAAGCAGACCCATTAAAAATAACCTTAAAAAATTAAGAAAGTACGTGTGGGGAGAACCCTGCTTCCTACTTCACTGGATTTTAACTTTTACTAATCTTTATGACCATTGACATTTAAACAATTTGAAGGTATATAAACCATGCGTGCAGCACGGCTGTAAGACTGAGTACGCAGAAAGCAATGCAACCTACCAGCTACGTTTGCTCTGCCTCACATAACTTCAACATTTAAAAAACATATTCATTTCCTTTCCTCATGTTCAAATTCTACTGCATCAGTAATATATGAGTGCCAGCTATATGGGTAGGCAGCACAAGATAGATTTTATTTATTAAATATAAATTGGCAGCAAATCTAAACTGATGGAAAAAGCTTTCACTTTGGCTATTTTTTTTTAATATTTGAGCTCTTATTAATGCTACATCAATGCCATGTGTCTTCTAACATATACTTCATGCATTTGGAAGTGAGACTTGAATGGAAGACGGATATTAATATTGATACTATTATTTCTACCTTCCCTACCAATACTGATGACTGTCACTTCACTAGAACAGAGTAGACAATGAAACCATTTACTTTCTTTGCACTGTTTTTCATGAGAAGCAACAATACATACTGCCTACACACCTTGGTCACATCTCGGGTATTATCGCACCTATTTGGTAGCTTTGGTTGGGTTTTGGGGAGGGTGTCTGGTGTTAATTTGTTTGACAAAAGACATTATTAAACACTTAGCACAAAAGGTATTACACCTTTTTTTCTCACCTTTCTGTGTCTCTCAAAAGCAAAAGCAGACACCTCATCCTGCCTGTCACACAGACTGCACCAGGTGTCCTGTGTGTAATTATGCAGTGTTTCTCAGATTGAGCCTGGAGGAACTTTT